AGTGCTTTGTTTGAATTTCGTGATTATTATAGTTATATATTTTAGATTCTTTTATTTAAAACGATATGTTTATCTTATGTTTGACTATGTTTATAAGTTAGTTATATAAATTCAAACATATAGCTTTAAGAAGTTGTATCCATGCTCCATGTATTTGCAATCTTGAATCTGAAGTGAACATATGTTATTAAGCAGTACTTGATGCATTAAAATTTGTTTTTAAGAGTTTAACCCACATGTTTTATAATATAGTATATAGATAAGTTGCCTAACTAAAAAATAAATTAATAATTATAATTATGATTGTATATATGTGTGTGTGTGTGTGTGTGTAAATTGAGATATGCGTATGGATTTGAGATCATGTGATACAAGATTATTTTCGTGAGACAACATTTTTACACTTGAAATTTCACATCAAAATAATATGAAGGTACCTTCACAGTGTTTTGCTGTGAAGGTTCAGATTATTTTTTACCTTCAAAACATTTTGTTGTGAAGTTTCAAGTGTAAAAATATTTTCTCACGTGTCTCATGAAAACAAACTGGTCTCTCGTGAAACCAACCACATGCGTATGGGTTCAAAATTTGACACGTTTACAGAAAAGGTGACATTTGCTTCCAAAAACCTTTTGATTCCTCCCAGTAACTATTGTCAATCACATCCGTTTACGTGAAGAGACATTTTGTCGTATATTATTATAATTTTAAATAATTATATGTGTGTGTGTGTAAAAAAAACCATAAACCACGTGACCAAATCAGAGACATCGAGTCTCCAACCTCTGAACACCAATTAAAATCCCCTTTCCCGTATCGCCACCCTTCCTTTTTCTATCGTCAACCCTCTTCTTATATGCAACTATCCTCAACCGTCACCTACCTTTCTCCTTATCTCCCTCTAAATCGAACCGAACCCCTTTCCTTCTCGATGACCCCAGCCTCTTCCTTTCGGTCCAACACCCTTCTATGCCCCCTACAGTACCTCACTACCTCCCCACCCCATCAAATTTATTCTGAAACGTCAACAAAAACTTCTAGCTACATCTCATTCTACACAGTTGTTCTTTTGAATCCCATCCTTTCGTTGAAATCTTCGACTACGTATGTTTCTACTAATTTGATTGAATTGTTTATTTCATGAATACAAAACTAAAGATAGTTAGGATCCGTTTGGTTTGCATGATTGTTTGTTAGGGATTTTGATTTCATGGAGGGATTTGGATGGTAATGGATTTGAAATCATTGGTGTGTTTGGGTGTGTAAGATTTGGAATGGAGGATTTCATTATTTATAAAAAAATTATAAAAACAATTGAATTACATTTTTATTAATCGATTATTACAAAACAAATGTTTTTTACATTTTTCTAAAACCTTACTGCATACAATCATACGAAATCCCGTGCACTCCGTAAGGATTTCAAAATCCTATGTTTTAAGGATACCAACTAAATCATAGGATTTCGAATCCGGACAATCCAACAAACCAAACATGAGATTAAAATGGATTTGAAATGCAAATCCCCCTAAATCCATTCCATTCCTTCAAACCAAACAAAACTTTAGGATCTTTTCTTTAGATTGAGATTTTTTTTATGTCTGTACAACTTTATTATTTATGTTCAAAATTTATAGATGTTTTTTTGGGATGCTTATGCTTAATTGATTATATTTTGTTTTTGATTTTTCCATCTTCTTGAAGTTCATGTTCGATATTTGTATTTGTGTTTCTAAGATGGTAATCAATAGAAAATCGTGAGGTCGACCGAACAAGTGGTGAGGTGGTGGTGTAGTAATATAAAAAGACTGATTTGCAATTTTTTTAAGAAAATGAGACGAAGTTGGAAAAATGCCAAAATGTTCCCCATTGAACGTGTGAAATTAACAACCGTTTACGAAAGAGACCAAAATTAAGCAATTATGCATACCACAGGGTTCTTTTTGCAATAAAAATTTAATAGGACCCGGTTCATAAAAATAAACAAACCACAAGGACCAAAACTGCAATTGTTTTGGAATTCTGGTTTTATTTAAGGGTTATTTTACAAAAAAAGACATTGTTTGGGACTTTACTGGTCATTTAACTAAAATAATGGTGAATATATGTAAAACTACTTTAAGTACAAGGGCTAAAAGTGTATTTTTTCCAATCGACAACCGTATGTTCTCTAGGTTTAGGGTTTCTGTCTATTACCCCGCAGATAGCAGATAGGGAAGGTGAAAGTGTGTAGCTTATCGAATACCAAGAATGCCGGCGTCGGAAATCACTGCCGACGCGTTATCGGCGTCCGGCCGGACGTCGGAGAAGCTGAGCCTGCCTACACTCCAATCTAAAATGAAATGTGATCCTGAAGGTTACGAGACTGAGTTATCCCTGATTTACAGCCAATTCAAGTCTTCTGTCGAACTTTTTCAACAACAAGCAGCGCTGAATTTCACTTCTGCTGCAAGCGGCGGTGTTGGAAGCGACCCTACCGTCGCCAAAGACCTCGGTGATCGCGCCATGTTCTTGGCTCACGTTACTCCTTTTTACCCTAACCAGCTCTTAGGTTATCCAAAAGAGCTCGTGGAATTCCTTAGGACATCCGCTCGTGTGCTTCCGTCCTCGCTTCGTGTCACTGTTACACAAGCTCTGATTCTTCTTCTTAACCGGAAGGTACCATCTTAGTTGAAGATTATTTTAATGTCTGGAACCACGCACACACGCACACGCAGTTTACTATTTTTTTTTTTTGTGATTGTGATAAAATAACTGTTCCTTAGATTGGACCAATTTGCAACTTCAAATTTTATTTGTCATGAGTTCTATAAATTATAATCGACTTGGAATGGTTGTTTTAATAGATTGTTGCTATCAAGGAGACTCTTGCATTGTTCATGGAGCTTCAGGTATTGAGTGACAAGGTTTTGAAGGAATTGGCATTCTCTCATGTCATTCATAGTATCAGGCGAATGAATCAGAAACACAAGAATGAAACAGAGAACAGAGCTCTGCAAAGTATTTTATTTTCAATGCTACAGGTATTTAGATGTTTCTTTGGCTTTTTAAACTTATTTAATAAACTTATTTGGGATCCAACTAGGCAACTATCATTTGCTTTTATGTTGCTTTAGGAAGAAGATGAAAAGAAAGCAATGAGATCACTTGTCACAATATGCGATCTTCATCGGAGGAAGGTTTGGTTTGATGATAGAACAGCGAATGCTATATGTCGGGCATGTTTCCATTCATCATCAAGGTTCAGAAAAATATTTATATACTCGGATTTCTATTTCATGTTACACAGATAACGTACTTACAGAAAATTTTGTTGTCTCACCAGGATTATGATCGCTGCTCTATCATTTCTTCTTGATTATGAAAAAATCGAGCAAGACAGCGACAGTGATGCGTCAAGTGATGAAGATGAAGCAGTCCACCAACCTCATGTGGTCGTGAGTAAAGAGGCTATTTATAAGGTTAGTTGCTTGGTTTATGAATGTATTTGGTCAACAGGCATACTGGAAACTTTATTGTTTTTGGTTGTGGATGTTTTTTTTGGAATGTATGAATGGGACTCTATATTGCTGTTCACATCTAGTTTTCTTTATTGATATTTGAACCTGGCGGGTAATCATGCACTGGTAATTTCATAGTATGAGAGAGAACAGCAATAATAGATAGTGTTTTTTACTTTTTAAAACAGTTGGTTCCTTCTTTAGTGACACCTCTGTTTGGTTCTTAATATTTGTTTTATCCTAATAGGCGAAAAATACAGGAACAACATCCAGCAAAAAGAAAAAGAAAGCGAAGTTGCAGCGTGTAATCCGTAGCATGAAAAAACAGCAACGTATATCATCAGAGCGTGATAATAACTCAAACTACTATTCACCACTCAACTCTTTGAAAGATGCTCAGGTATGTTGAAACACTCCTTTTATTGTATCTAGAGAAGAAAGAACGTGTCTGAGTTGTTCCGCTTTACAGGGATTTGCTGAGAAGCTGTTCTCACGACTTCAAACCTGTGGAGAACGGTTTGAGGTAGTTACTCATTTATCTCTTTTTTGTATTCTTTTCTAGTGTCCTAATGATATTTCATCTTCAATGAGCTGGTCCTTCTGTTTGTAAGTACCAAACAACCTCCCAATAACATGTTTAATGTTTTGTATTACATCTGTATTGCAGATAAAGATGATGATTGTGAAAGTAGTTGCTCGTACTGTTGGACTTCATAGATTGATATTATTGAACTTCTATCCTTTTCTTCAGAAGTATGTTCAGGTTTGTATTCTCTGAATGCCTTGTACTTTCTAGCTGTTGCTTGTATTCACAAATGTTGTGCGTTTTATTTGTTACTTACATTCACAAGTTTCATCTTTGTTCTGAGATTTGCAGCCTCACCAAAGGGACGTGACAAACTTACTTGCAGCAGCTGTCCAGGCCTGTCATGATATGGTATCTTCTTGTAGACTTTAAACTTCCATTGGAAATCATTAGAATACTTCTGCAAATATTACCATTCTATTGAATATACTTTGTAATTCCTTGCCACCACTTCATACCAAAATGACCAAGTTTTATGGATTAGGTGCCACCTGATGCAGTTGAACCGTTGTTCAAGCAAATAGTCAATCAATTTGTGCATGATCGCTCTCGTACAGAGGTCTCTTTTAATGGATGTCTTTGGTTGTAGTACTTTCTTTTTTTGGTGATCTGAATGTTCAAATTAAATTTTAATATGGCTTACCCTTTGCAGTCGATTGCTGTTGGATTAAATGTGGTGCGGGAAATATGTTTACGCATTCCTCTGGTAAGCCCTCTAGTTGCAGTGTTCATGTTCATATGTATACAGTTAGTACAGTTAGTTGTGGTAAATTTACTGGACTTTCAGTTCCAGGGGGGATTCATTTCTTCTTTATCTGTATCTATAAGCTCCTTCCTTCCCTTAAATACTGCAATGAATTCCGTCTTACTGGTCTCATATAAAATGCAATATTATCTGTTTCAGCAATGGTTCTAATCTCAATATTGGTTTGTCTTGGTTATTGTCCCCAGTAGCTAACAAGTACAGCATCTCAATTGATGGTCAAATTGAAGATCCCCCTAAACATGGTTAAATTTGTCTCACTTTGAGGGTGGTTTTGTAGTGTCTTTTTCTGCCTTCTTCATGACATATAGGCTTGGTCAATTACTGTTCTTGCGATGGATCGAGCATATTATATCTTATGTTTTTGTTTGCCCAGACTTCTAGTTACTTCTCCTTGATGCAATTAGTTTCACTTAGTTGCAGCCCTCTGGTTTTAGCATTCCTCGTCTTTACTTCTTAGGGGAAAGGAGAAAAATTAAAGAGACTTATCACTCTTTTTAATTTTCTTGTTGGTCAGTTAATGACAGAAGACTTGCTGCAAGACCTTGTGCTATATAAGAAATCACATGAGAAGGCGGTTTCATCTGCTGCTCGTTCACTTATTTCATTGTTTAGAGAGGTACCGTAAAATCTCTCTCTCTCTCTCTCTGTGCATGCATGTGTGTGCATATTTACTTGTCTTCTAGGTTAAAAGCATGCTGACTCATGAAACTGGCCTTTTCTGTAGATTTGTCCCTCACTTCTAATAAAGAAGGACCGTGGACGACCTACTGATCCAAAAGCAAAACCAAAAGCATTCGGTGAGGTTACTGTTCCCAATGATGTTCCTGGGGCTGATTTACTTAGGGACGAGGAGGAAGACGATGACGATGATGATGGCAGTGATGGTTCAGATCAAGATGAGGACAACAGTGGTATTGGGGAAGAGGATGCCATTAGTGATGATGATATCAGCACTCATGATGGGGGTTCGGAATTTAACTCTGATGATGCTGCACAAATGGAAAGTGAAGAGGATGAATCATCGGAAGATGAAGGTGATGATGATTCATGCAGTGACAATGATAATGAGGAGGTGAAAGACATAGATGGAATGTCCATTGATTCTCAGGGAACTAGAGGACAGAAGAGGAAATTTGTGGACTTTGATGGAGAACTTGACGCTGCCAGCCAAAGTCTTAGGGCTCTTAAGAGGTTAGCAGGACCGAAATTGGAGACAGATGCTTCAGATTCAACAGACGGTATTCTCTCAAATGAGGACTTCCAGAGAATCAAAGAGTTAAAGGTAAGTTGCAATTTCACACCACAATGAAGTTCAAACTTGACATGTGTTATTTTCTCTTATTTGATCTTGAGCTTTTTCCGTCTCTTACAAATGGTGTCAAAATAGACAAAGAAGGATGCAAAACTTGCATTGGCCCATCACGGATTGTTGAAAAAGGCTTCCGATCCAAAGTCGACGGTCTTCAAGATCCCAACTTCTGATCAACTCAGTTTGAAAAGAGTTGATGGAGTTACACTTGAAGTGAGTCTCTATCTGTAGCAGCTTTATTTTTCTAATCATTAATGTTTAAAAGAAATTTTTAGTAATTATGAAGTGTCTGCTCTCTATACATTAGAGTGATTATTCTTGCAGGATGCAGATATCAAGCTATTGTATAAATTTACAAATCGATTGATTGTGTACATAATTTGTAGGCTAACATACGGAAAAAGATGACCAAGGAGGAAAGGAAGGCTTTAATCAAAGCAGGAAGAGAAGACACGGGGAAGTACCAAGCAAGAGCTGCTATCAAGCAGAACAAGGTGTGTTTTCACATCTCATTGTTTATTGCAGTTCCCTGGATCGTTGTGCCCCCTAGGGCCTTTGCAATTGTATCTCTTTTACTCTTTTTAGAAAATCTGATTACCTTCATCCCCTTATAAGAACCATGATGAAGCCTGGAGCATTAAGAACCCTCTCATTGATGCACCAAAATTTGTATTTGTTGTCCATTCAATTTGCATCTTTTGATTGATAAATCATTCAATGTTTATATATTTCTACTTGAATGGCAATAGGGAATATGATTTTGTGAATGCATGCGGTCACACGAACTTCATATATATCCACATGCACATTAGTACAGATAGGCTTGTATTTGGTATGCAGACTGGACTGGATATGACTGGATTGGACAGACGAGAGTGTGGTCTGTGGGTGAAAGAATTGTGCAAGATTTTTAATTTGATATGAGTAGTTTAGTAATTTACTAATTTTGTTCCATCTCCCAGATTTATGTTCCACCTATTTTGGTGGGACAAATAAATGCACTTTTTTGTCCTGTCTCGGTCTGTCCCACCAAACGTGGGACAACAAACGATTGCTACTTTGGTCAACTACTGAATATTTGGTCAAACTACTCAGTGGTGATATAAGACATGCACTTTGGGCGGCTCCTTTTCACACAATTTGTGCTCTTGAGACATACATCTTGGGTGTTTAAGTGATTGCTTGTACTCCTTCCGTCCCAAAATAAATGTCCACAATGAAAAAGAGACACAATTTTAGGAATGTATAATTACTAATTAGTACACTTTTAAATTAACTAAAGGACAGCTTCACCTTGAATAATAGAGTAAATTTCCTCATATCATGATTAAGGGTATAATGGTAAAATAGACATTTATTCTTGAAAGTAGGACACTTATGTTAGGACAAACTAAATAGAAATGTGGACACTTATTTTTGGATGGAGTGACTACGTTTTTTCTTCTTAGCTTACTTGCCCATCCCATGAATGTTGCAATAAATTTCATTTTTGGAGGACCCATTAGTTGCAAATATTTTGAGATGATGTTTGCCGATCCATGACAACTTGTTGGCATTTATTATAGTCCACAAGATTCCCCTAATTTTGTACTCCCTCCATTTCAAATAAGTGTCCATATTTCTATTTATGTTTGTCCCAAAATAAGTGTCCACTCACAAAAGTAAATAACTAAATTCTCAAATTTACCCTTAATTAATGCACAAATATTTAAGAGTTGTGAAGAGATAAAAATTAAGGGTAAAAATATCGATTGGTTAACAAAAAAGTTTAATAGTTATACATGCCTAAAACTGGGGAAATTGACCCAAATGACCATATTCTACAACCAAATTGACCTCCTAACTATTTCTCTCCGGACTTTACCCAGTATTGTGAACCCACTAAACAACAAAATTTTAGAGGTTTTGGCCCAGGTCCGTAATTATTTCGGATCCGGCCCAAAACCCATTTTCTTTGAATCCATAATGCCAGTCCACAAGTGTCCACCTTCATCGGAAAATGGGTTTTGGGCCGGATCCGTAATAGTTGCGGACCGGTGGTTACGAACCTGGCCCAGAAACGTTGATTTTGTTGTTGTTTAGTGGTCCACGATAGTGACTTTTTGGGTAAAGTACGGAGAGAAATAATTAGGAGGTTAATTTGGTTGTGAAATGTAGTCATTTGAGTCATTTTCTCCTAAAACTGTGTGCCATTTCAATTTTGGATTCTTTCTTTGAGACGGAGAGAGTACTATCGAAGGTTATTTTAGATATTTAATTGAAATCAATACTATATTTCTTCATCTTCATTGTTTCCTTCAATGTAAGCAAGCTTTATCTGTAATATGCACGACTGATTGATTTGAACTATGATTGATAGACGGGTGGGTTAAGCAACCGGCAAAAGGAACACAAGAAGGCTATGCCTTTGGCTGCCAAGAGATCGAAGGTCGAAAGATCTCGTCGTCAGAAAAAGATCAAGCAGAAGACCGCTGGCAAACAGTTCCGTGGTCGCAAAGCCTGGAAGTAACAAGTTTCTCCCAGTTGAAACCATCCACAATTTTGCTTTTCATTTTCTCTTCAAGCATTATTTACCTTACAATTTAGTGTTCTTTTTGTGGTGCCAAATTTATATGAAATGTATCATCTTTTATACGTTAAGTACCAATATAAGCATATTTGTACCAAACCATGGTGTAACTGTAGTTGTAAAAGGACATTTTTATTGCATAAAAGTAGAAATTTTACAAAATTGGTCCTCGTCTTTTCTATCGTTTAAGGTAGCGTTCGGTGTGCAGACCAGACGGGATTGAAGGGACGGTATGTTTTGTGTTTGGCACAACTAAAACATAAGTTGATGAAGAGGCTGTTTGAATGTTCTCCATTTAAGTCTTGCGTGGATAAAATTGTCTATGTGGATTAACTTGTCTGTGTAGATTTAAAAGGTTTGGAACCGGTAAAGGACCGGCCTGGCCTGGGACCAGTAAGGACCGCCGACCTGGACCGGTTATGGTTTTGCAGTGTTTCGAGGACCCAGCCCGACTGGGACCGGCACCGGTTATGGGCTCGGCCTGGTTTTTCAAAAAATAGTTTTTTTTTTTTTTTTAATAAAAGGAGTTGACTATAATGTGTATTTGAGTGACCCAATTACAAAATTTGTAATGTATTAAAGAAATCTATCATTAAAAAATATTTTTTTAGTCGAGACCGGCTACTCATAACCGGTTATAGGAAGACTTAACCGGGCTCTTTATTTTCGACCGGGACCGGTTTTTAACCATCACTGCACATAGGGATGTGAATCAGGTGGGTAGGACGTGTTCAGGTGGGTAATCCAAAAATCCGATTGGATTTTCGATATAAAATCCAAGTCTCGAGTTTTAGGTTTCATATTTTAGATTGCTACGAGTTTGGATTGACCTGGTTTTGGGTTGAGTTAGGTCGAGCACAAGTATAGTTATAATGCAAACAATATATATTAAATCGATTTTGAGTATTGAATTCAATCGACTAAGAGGATTGATGAAATCGATAGCATGTTTAAAAATTAGAAAATAGTACGACCGACTAGGATTTAGGATTTTCAAAAACTAATAAGATAACAAATTTATTTATATAATGTTAAAATATATGTGTGTATATATATATTTCGAGTTCTCGGACAGGTCGGGTGACCAAAAATCAAACCCAACCCGAATCCAAATATCCACACAAAATCCAAGCTTCGGATTTTCAGATTTCAAGACATTTGAGTTTTGCACAAAAACATTATTTTTTGTTCGAGTTCGAATTTCAGACCGTTCAGGTTTTACACATCGTTGTACACATTAACATTACACACACACAACCCTAGTCCCTCTAACAGATGGGAGTTTACCCGACCCGAACTGAAACCCGGGTTAAAACCGAAAAAACAAGCGGGAGCGGTGAAAGATATTTGTCGCAAGGGTTTTTAGGGCATAAAACCCCTTCGAAACTCGCAACTTCCAACACCACCTCCGTCATCGTCACCGTGTGGGTGGCTGTCGATCTCTCGCTGTCGTCTTCGATTTCTATGTCGATCTAAGAGCTTAACCAAGTGTAAGATCAACAACAATGGCGTTGGCGTTCGATGAATACGGTCGGCCGTTCATAATCTTAAGGGAACAAGAAAGTAAGAGTAGGTTAAGAGGTTTAGATGCTCAGAAAGCCAACATTTCTGCCGGCGTCGCCGTCGCTCGCATCCTTCGGACTTCTCTTGGTCCGAAAGGCATGGACAAGATGCTCCAGAGCCCCGACGGCGATATCACCATAAGTAAATAGTCACATCTCTTTGTCTCTCTTTCTCTGTAGATGCTTCTATGCTATCGTCTTGTTTCGTTCCTAGTATAATAGTTTTGACCTTGATCTCTATGAATATTGCATTTTCTACATAAACGATTATCAATTAATGCTTGATCTACTTATTTGATGTCATTGAGTTATCGGAGAAGTGGAGAAACCGTAGTTGGTTGGTAGAGCATGTGTTGCATGAACTAGGGTTTTCATTTCACTTATGCTATAATGAAGTTTGTGATCTTATCATGAGCAATTTGGAAGGCTGGGTCTTTGTTTTGCAGATTAGGTTAAACTTGAGCGGTTACAGTTACTTGGATTGGGTTTATTTTATAAAACAACACATCATACGGCTACATGGTACTAGAAACTTGTTACTTGATCCATCCATTGCAAAAAATAAAATAAAATGATCTACGGATTGGCTTTGTATATCAAATGTGTACTTTTTAATATGGGTTTTCTAACTCTCTTAGAGAAAATCCTGCTTGCATTAAGCTCAAATACTAGTACTCCTGTTCAAACATTGTAAAGGCAGTGTTCATTATGCAATGAATTTCAAATCAAGTTTGTATTTGTGAAGTACTAGGAGTTACCTAGAAAATCTTAGCGTAGATCCTTTTCAATAATGGAGAGTATATAAACCTTCTTACATAGCTATGCTGAAAGCTCCTTCAAAGCTTATATGAAAAGCTTTAACAATTTTGGCTGATGGTGAAGGGCTATCTCAGGGGTTTGGTCTTCCTGTGATTTGAACATGTGTATGCACTGAAGGATGTGATAAGTGATGGCTCGAGACTCGAGTCATTTGGCGCTGTGGGAATACCCAAAATTTATTCAAGCACAATAATGCATTATTGTTATTAAACAACTTAGCTAAATTATATTAGTGGTTTGACCCGTACCCGGACGAACCTTCCAACAAGCAGAATTAAACATGGTTCATGGACTTCAATTAGTGAATATTTTGAATGTCAGTTCTGTATTTTTCAATGATATACATGTACTGGTGAAACACAAAGTATCAGCTGGGTCACAAGTAAGTAATTTATAGGTCAAACGCAAATAGGAGAAGACATTTTTATCAGCATTGCCAAAAATACCTTCGGTGGAAATGTTATATGCACAATCGAGGTTGTCACTAGTAGCTGAAAAGTTCTTTTGGCATTGCTTTTGCTATCGATAGTTAACTTATTCTTTTTTCAGCAAATGATGGTGCAACAATCTTGGAGCAGATGGATGTTGACAATCAAATTGGTAAATTGATGGTTGAGCTATCACGTAGTCAAGACTATGAGATTGGTGATGGAACAACAGGAGTTGTTGTTATGGCTGGTGCACTGCTAGAACAGGCTGAACGGTTATTGGAACGTGGTATTCATCCAATTAGAGTTGCAGAAGGCTACGAGATAGCTTCAAAGATTGCTGTTGATCATTTGCAACAAATATCACACAAATTTGAGTTCAGTGCTACACATATAGAACCTCTGGTTAAAACTTGCATGACTACATTATCCTCTAAGATGTGAGCTCCTGCTATTACTGTTCCTTTAATGAATACGATGCCATTGTGTTTGTCATAGTTCATACTTTATCAGTTTATTGTACTCCGACAAATTCTTATTCTGTAGCTGCACCTTCCTTTCCTATCTTATTTTAGGGGTGGGGTAGATGACACATGTTAAGGAATTGGGGTTGATTCTTTCTTGGCTTGACTACTTCACAAGCAAGTTTCTAATTTAAAAAAGAATTTAAAATGTACCGAACAGAAGCTTCAACATAACTTTCCAGGAAATCCTTTACTATTTTTTTGAGCTGACCTGCTATTGATTTTGCAAATGTTCTTATAACACAGTGCATAAGTTTCCTGCTTCTTCAATGAAAGCATGGTTGCAGGACTGCAAATTTTTCAAAAGACTGGTTGATTTGTACTTGATTATATCTGATTCAACTCCACATTTCAGTGTGAATCGTTGCAAGCGCACTTTGGCCGAGATTGCTGTGAAGGCAGTCATGGCAGTTGCAGATTTGGAGAGGAAGGATGTAAACTTAGACCTCATTAAAGTGGAGGGAAAAGTGGGTGGGAAATTGGAGGATACAGAGCTCATTTATGGGATTCTTGTTGACAAAGATATGAGTCACCCACAGATGCCAAAGCAAATTGAGGATGCAAAAATTGCCATTTTAACTTGCCCCTTCGAGCCTCCAAAGCCAAAAACCAAACATAAGGTTGACATTGATACAGTCGAGAAGTTCCAAACATTACGCCAGCAAGAGCAGAAGTACTTTGATGACATGGTTCAGCAATGCAAGGTATGGTGACATTTTAAACATGGATATGTTTTCCCCATGTATATGGTGTATGATGCATGAGTAGTTACTACTCAAAAACAAGAACATTATGCAATCCAGTTTTTTGAACTTCATCTCCCTTGACGCTGTTTTTGCATGACTCAGGATGTTGGAGCTACCCTGGTGATTTGCCAATGGGGTTTTGATGATGAAGCAAATCACTTGTTGATGCACAGAAATTTACCTGCTGTCAGATGGGTTGGTGGTGTTGAATTAGAGCTTATAGCAATAGCCACTGGTTTGTACTTACTGATTAACTCGTTAATATTGGGTATTGTCTATTTTATCCTGTTGCTATGTTTGTTAATTACCTTGCTTTGTGCTATTTATCTTTTATCGTGCTTAGGTGGAAGAATCGTTCCCAGGTTCCAGGAATTAACACCTGAAAAGTTAGGCAAGGTAATTAACACCTGAAAACCTTGGTTCAGAAGGTTTGCAACTTTTAATATCATTTGTTTACATGCTTCATTGCCTTTGCTCTCTTGGATCATTCTCTTTGAACACAGATCCCGTTAAGTGAACATGCCTTATTGTTCATTTTGTTGGTAAGGCAACACAAGTAGCAGTTAGCAGTGGCTTGTTCGGCTGTGAATACAGCTAAAAGACCCCCACCATAATTTTTTCATTTCACATATAGCATCTCTTTAGATTTAATCATTCCCAATAATCACACTCTGTTTTTAGTGTAGTCCTAAAATTAGGTGTCACTCCAGAAATCTTCCTAATGAGAAACTGGACAGGGAAGAAGGTTAAATTTAACTGTTGTTTTCACTCTATGTATATGGTAATGATGCTAATCTTTCAAATATCAGTTATAACATATCAAAGTGTTGCTGCAAAGAGTTATTATAAACTTATAAAGCAGTCAACCACTGAACCTAATCATGTGTGTGCATTTACTATAAATGCTGATGTTGCAATATGTCCTTGTTCCCTTTACTAAAATGAGGTGCATTGCTCGTACATATGTTCTGGTCCACCAGCTGTTGCATCTCTATTATTGATAGATTATGTCTATGTATTGAATATCCAGGAGTATTCTTTTGTTATTTATAACATGGAAAAGCTTTTGACCTAAGCATAAGCAGGCCTTATTGCAGTATTAGTCAATTTAATCCCCATCATGCTGCTCCCTAAATAATATATCAATATGTATCATCATTTATTTTCTTTGTTGGTTGTGGGCCCTGAAGAAACATAAATTACTCTTCTTAATGAACAGGCTGGTTTGGTTAGAGAGAAGGCATTTGGTACCACAAAAGATCGGATGCTATATATTGAGCATTGTGCAAATTCAAGAGCTGTAACCGTATTTATTCGTGGTGGTAAGTGAATGTCTACTTTTCATAAGATTACTTGTAGCTTCTGGCATTCATTAGAACCTGGATTAGAGAATATGGGATACAGGCTGATTGTTTTTAATTGGGCTCTTGATATAATTTGTCATTCTGGTGCCGCCATGCTTGTTTGTGGCATTCATTAATTCTGATTCTGATCCAACAATAGTTTCTCATGTCTGCTAGTCTATCATCTCGTGATAAATCAGGTAACAAGATGATGATAGAGGAGACCAAGCGCAGCATCCATGATGCATTGTGCGTTGCCAGAAACCTCATCCGCAATAATTCCATCGTCTATGGTGGCGGCGCAGCAGAAATTTCATGCTCAATTGCAGTGGAAGCAGCTGCTGATAAATATCCAGGAGTTGAGCAGGTATCATTGGAGATTATTACTTTCTTACCAACCTCAACTTTTTTTTATGTATTTTAATGTTGGGATTAGTAAAGTAATCTTTATGGTCAGTTATAGCTTCTATCATTGCCTAGATGCAAACCAATTATGGAGTATCTAATTTCTTTCTTAAGGGTGCATTAGGGCATCTCCAATGGGTAACACCAAATGGGCTGTTTGGTTGGTTTTACATTAAGTCATGTATGGATAAAGCTGTCTATGTGGATTAATTTGTCTGTATAGATTGGGAAGGTTTTTGTTTGGGGATTGTTTATATAGATGGAAGGAGCGTGTATTTTAATTGGGCGAGACAGGTTTGGAAAAAAAAACTTGCCTTTCTGCATAAGCTCCCACCTAGAAGCTTACTGAGTAAGCCACTTTTTTACATCATTAAGCCACTACCAAACAGTCATGTACAGCTGACCGAATAAGCTGCGAGTCTTGTTAAGCTGCTAAAAAAGAGGTCCTTAGACCAATTCCATAAAAAATGGTGTAAAATTTGGTGCAAACAATAAATCTACTCCAATGATAACACCAAATCTTACACCAAAACATAAGATTGTAGGTATATTCCTTTTCATGTTCCCCATTGGTAAAATTTGGTCTAAATGAATAGCATTACATCAAATTTAGTGTCCCCATTGGAGAGGATCTTATGCATGATTGGATGTGATAGAACAAAAGCTTGTTGTCCCACTTTAGTACGACATTTAGATAGAGACAAGGGAGGACTGAGTGGGACAAGAATGCAGGTGGAACAAAGAAAAGAGAGATGGTGAATTACCAAACTACCCATGGCAAACGCTCTCTAAGGGTGTGTTTGGTATTCGGACAGGATAGGACATGAGAGAACAACTGTTCAACGTTTGGTTAAACAGAACTAGACAGAACAGATAAAATGACCAATTTACCCCTAATGAGTTGTTTATGTCAAGACGATTAAAATGACACCAAAATAGAAAATTTATGTAGTTTCCAAATATTTTTATGTTAAACCTTCTCTATATATTTTTATTATTATTTAATAAATAACATAAATTAATCAAAATATAGAAACCATGTAAAAGTAATATTTTGAGGATAGTAAAGATAAAGTTTAAATAGCATAAAATACGATAAATAAAATTTAAATAACGAATAAAATGTGAAGTGGGAAGTGTATTTGATGTTTTCGAAGAGAGATTAGGTTTTGTTTTGAGATTGTATTTGGTAAAATACAGGTCTGTCCCACCTTGTTTCGTGGGATGGGGGTGGAACATGCATGTTCCACTTTGTTCGACTCCGTTCCTGTCTGTTCCACATGAAAGTTCTCCCTAACATGGAACAGTGATCCCTATTCTTTCTTGTCATGTTTTGTATAGTGCATAAAACGCACCCTAAATATACAAGCTACTTTATGTTTAAAACAGAAGGCATCTTCTGTACTAAATATGCAGGCTCTAGTCTTCACTTCTATAAGCTTTATTAACTGAAAATTTTATCTTTTTGTCGATAGTATGCCGTCAGGGCCTTCGCAGATGCCTTGGATTCTGTCCCCATGGCCCTTGCAGAGAATAGCGGTCTGCAACCCATTGAAACACTATCTGCAGTGAAATCTCAACAAATAAAGGTGAATTATATCGGTGACTTGTAGAATTTAACGTCAATTGCATCATGAGTATTTACGATTATATTTGGTATGACGATATGTAGGACAACAACCCTTGTTGTGGCATAGACTGCAATGATGCTGGCACAAACGACATGCGTGAGCAAAATGTATTTGAAACACTTATTGGAAAGCAACAGCAGCTGTTGCTTGCCACACAAGTCGTCAAGATGATCTTGAAGATCGATGACGTCATATCTCCAACCGAGTATTAATTTTCAGGTACTTGACTTCCAAGTTCTTTTTTCCTACCAAATTTGTGTTAAAAAAACAATTTTGTAACGTGTTTTCTGCTTAAATATTTCCGTCTTTTATTATTTTCGAGTGACAATTGTCGAAAGCCCTAATTTTCTTTGCTATGTTAAAAAAAGGGTAGTGGTGTGAAATCGTTCGTAGAACCATTCAACAGTAGATTATTACTTGTATTTCTATTTGCAGAGGTGAAAGGGATTTGGTATTTCTGTGTCTTACTTGGTCCCTGTTTCTCCTTGGTTTGCTTGGACTCTCTTGTTTTTGCGGAAGTAGAGATGGTTTATGACCGGGTTATGACAAAACCTTTTCTTAGTTGATTTTCTGTAATTGCTGTAGATGGATATAATTAGACCTGTTTGTCGACTAGACGAAGGCTTGTGTGAGAATGGATCCGGATCCTTGATTACCTTTAATCTTAAACCTACCCATGAATCTCGTTTGATACGTGGATTGATTCGATGCATCTCATCCTAATGTGCATCTATTGATGGAGATCCCTTTTTACGCTTCTGACCGGAACCAACCCTTTTTGACTGATGAGTGAGTACTATGCGACACTTTTTATTAAAAGAAGTTGGTCATAATTGGGTAACCTTGACCCGTTGTGTAAACAAGAATCGTATTTGAGGGGTTATACATGGTTGCCTTGGATTACATCCCAGGTTTTCAGGCTTACGTGAATAAAATCATGACCTTTAATTTATTCAATCTACGGACTAAAATATCAGTGGTATTTTTGTAATAATAGTAAAATGAACGGTGCTATGTTGTAATGAACATTTTATCTTTATGGTTATTTGAATCTTTTATACAATTTATTTTGAAATTAAATCACCTATTAACAATGTTTTAGGGTTTATCAGTAGGGAAAGTTCATTTTGGAATGTTAAATAATTTGAGAGCGTGGAAATCATGTATTTTATGAAGTACTTATGGTGGATAACCTTGAATAATAACAAATATCATTCATCATGAATATTTGGTACGAGATTTGTTATAAATATTTATCACATTATTCATCATGAATACTATATAAAAAATTCATGGTTTTTAGATTTTCAAAATAGCTAAGATTTCTAAATAAATCTGTTACTTTTGTTTATAACCCTCAACTTTAGGGAAATTGACCAAATTAGCAGATCTCTCATCAGCCAAATTTATTCTCAAGACATCATTGAATTCTCATTTTAGACAATTTCAGGGAGATGTACTACGTGTTTGCATAAAACCTATTTTCAATTTAAAAAAAAAATTATGCAAATTATTTACATAAAAGAGGATATTTATGTAAGAGGTTTTTTGTTTACCTTTTAATAGTTTCATTAAGAGACGGTTTTCAATCGTTAAGAGGTGAATCTTATGGTAAAAAAAATATGTCTTTTAATGGTTCTAAAATCCTTTGAATGGTTTTGTATTTAGGTCTCCTTTAATCATTAAGCGTTCTAATTTCATTCTGAACAATTATCAAACAATTATATTTCATTTTATACTACATTATAAAAGTTTTTTAAACATTATGACTACTTAATCATTTTGTAATAAACTATTTAGCAACTCTTAAACAGTCCTTAGGTTTATATAAAGATATTTTTTTTACTTTTTTAATCTAAAAATAGGTTTTACATAAATACATAAGAAATTTAATTAAAATCTGACTGAATAAAAATTTTAATATTAAAAAATGAATTTAATTAAAAATATTAATTATTTTGATCAATTTTAGTGAAATTTGTTGTATGGTATGAAGGCATGTGTGCTGGGGTGAGCACAACGTGAGGATGATCATGATTGGACTTTGATTACATGTGCTTGTGGCGGTGGGCCCTTTGTGCCCGCCAATAACTCGCCACTCCAAAATCCAACTCCACAAGTCCCATGTTACTGATTAATCGGTTACCAGATCAATTGTATTAGATATTGTTTATTTTGTTTATATATAAATTTATTGTTTTAAAACGTATTTGATAAAAGAGATATCTAGTTCTTTACAACCAATGTAGGATCTTACAGGCCATCTTAGGGAGTAGAGTGTTATCGCTAACACACTGGTCCGGTTGTTGGCCCTGTAACATCATAGGCCGATAGTACCAGATATTGTCCCTTTTTTATTTACACCTGAACTCATGACTTTAAAACGTATTTGGTAAAGGAGATATCCAATCTTTTAAAGCATCTTCAACATATTCTCCAAAATTGAGAATTAAAAGTCAAAATATACAGATAAAATTTATGTTCATCATCAACAACGTCTCCGTTTTGGAAATTACAATATAAATTATATTTATTAAAATATTGATATCCAATATCTTATATAAAATATTATTTATTTCTCTTATAAATTTAATTTTAAGCATTCTCATTGGTATAAAGAATAAAAAATGAATTTTCTTTCGTAAGTAATCATTTTTTGATAGTTCCATTTTCTCTCTCTTATTTTCTTCGTTTTGGAGAAGGTTTTGGAGAATCTGTAAAATCCATAATATTTTCATTTTGGAAATTCTGTTACAGATGTTTTTATAATGCAATAGTTTTCGTTCTTAACTGATGTGGGATTCAGTGTCTTAATAGGGCAAATTGCATGAAAAAGTAAGGTATTTTAACTTAATTTCTATTTTGGGTAACATACTTTCAACACTTCTATTTTGTTACCTAAGATGGAAAGTTTTAAACATTTAAGTACCCGGGTATCATTTTAATGTGGTATCCAACTCAATATTATTTGCTGACGTGGTCAGTGACATGAATTTTTTTAAACAAAAATTAGTCATTTTTTAAATCTAAAATTATTCTTCAACCGGTTACCTAGGTATTTAAATGTTTAAAACTTTACATCTTAGATATCAAAATGGATGTTTTGAAAGTAAGTTACCCATAATAAAAATCTAGTTAAAGTACGTTACTTTTTCATACAATTTGCCCATTATAATATCACGTGACGATGAACTTAGATTTTATTAAATTAAGACCATATGGTAGGGCCTTGTCCTAAATTTTGTATGCTTATCATATTATGTGACAACAAACTCATATTATGAATCTAATTAGCTGTTAAACTATAAAATGTCTGAATCCTGGTAGCTCAATCCACTCTAAGACCATGTGGTAGGGACTTGTTTGTTCTCGCACTATAGGGATTGATTGTTTTTTTTATGCACGCTCTCTCTTTCAATAGTTCTTGTTACACAAAGTACAACTCTGTACAAATTCAGTCGGTGGAGAACCACGTAAAAAGCAGAATAAATGTTTTACTGACACTTTTTTTTGGCTTATTTGGACCAAATTTTGAAAAGAAAGTTTGATATGTTGAAGTTATTTCCTTTTAAATTAAAACATGAATAATGAAACTATCCAAAAAGTACATTATTTTTTATGACAAATTTGTATGAAAAAATATTGTACTTTAATTTGATTCCTATTTTAGGTACTGTACTTTCAAAACTTTTATTTTGATACCTAAGATGTAAAGTTTTAAACATTTAAGTACTCGGGTAACCGGTTGAAGCATTAATCAGTTATCATGCTGATATGGGCATATGGCGAGTGAATTGGTATTCAACTCATTATTATTTGCTAATGTGGTTGTTGACATGGATTTTTTTTAATCTAAAATTAGTCTTCAACCGATTATTCGGGTACTTAAATGTTAAAACTTTACATCTTAGGTATTAAAATGAAAGTTTTAAAAGTATGTTATCTAAAATAGAAATATAATTAAAGTACATTATTTCATACAATTTATCTTATTTTTTATACATCTATTACAATCAATTATTGCAATTAATCTAAAATTCAAGAGTATAAATAATATTGCTTTAATACAAATTCTACATACACTAAAACTATCACCACCTAAAATCTTAATGCTTTATCATTAAAATTGAATTTAATTATAAATTAATTTTTTATTTTAAAATATCTAAATTATAATAAAATTTTAAAAAAAGCCTTTTATTTTTCTAATTTGATACCAATATCAGTATATTTTTTAGGTTTTTTTATTGTATATTCAAATTAGTTGTTCAATCACGACTTGTAATTTATTTTTTATTCAAATATAAATTTTCAACCTCCCTTTTCAAAAAGACATTATATTAATTTTTTTTATTTTTTTTATTTACAGTAAAATATCATATCCCACTGCATCGTATACACAACAAATACGTATATTCCAAATCAAATTATTGATTTGGTAATCACAAGAGTGGTGGCTGATTGGTTTTAGTTTGACTTTAAATGTCAAAAGTGTTTGGAGGTCTCATGTTCAAATCCAAGGAGGAATAAAAATCTCTTTATGACCACGAAGGTTCAAACGCGGTGACTCCAAACTACCCACAAAACAGTTGGCCGTCATGGGATTGGTCAGCTCGTATAGCGGATTGAATATTCTTTTAACGAGAAGCGTGAGAAGTGGTGAATGTACCGTTTTATTGTATGAATTTTACGTTATATTTAGTAAAAGTCACAAACTTGAATGTATATTATTACCAGTTTATGTGAAGACGATCAGATCAACACGTATATTACATGAACAATACATTATATTATGTGAATGTTACGATTCTTATTTTAAAAAAACAAGAAGGATGTGAATGTGAGAGTGGTGAAAGAAGGGTCAGAAAAAGCACATGGAAGGAGCGAAGGGGATAACATTAAATTGGCGATGTGTGATTGTGAGTGTGAATAGAGAGCATGTGGTGCCCTTTCTTTTCTCATTGGGACTAGGAATCAACTTTCACATTAATTCAACCAACTTTGCCAAAACCACATTTTACCCCTTCTTAACTACATATTCTATTAAAAATATTATATATATATATATATATATTATTGGTTGAAAACTGACTTTCAGTTGTGAATCGGGAGATAAAGTAGAACATGACCGTGTCTTATACCTTCAAGGGTTATTCATCATGAATAATATAACATTAACTTTGATAATCATTTTTAAGAGTTTTTGTAAAATATTTTAGAATATATCATAGATGATCTAAAAATTTCGAAATTTCATGAGAATACTAAAAATAAAGTTGAAAAGGGGTTAAATTTTCTAGTTTAGTGTGGTTGAGATGTCACATATAACCCCCTTTATTAAGGCATGTGACTTGCCCCATTTTGTAGGGTATAAACCTATTTGTTGAGTTTGAATAAGGATGATTTTAAATCTATTTTTATTTTTTATTTTTATTTTTTTATATTATTTGAAATATATTATATTAAT